TCGTGTAAGTCAACATACTTCTCCAGTTTATACATTAATAGTAATTTTTTAACTTATAATTCCGTTTTTTTTCGTCAATAGCGTTTTCAAATATGTCGCTGTCCAAAACKACTAATACGTATAACCGACAGAATTGGGAAGACTCCGTAAGTATTTCGTTCATAAACTATTTTAAATAAACGAAGAATTTTGATCGTACTTGAGTCATGATTTCATACACGCGATCATCACAGAAATTGTTTCCATACCAATTTCAAACAATATGAGCATGTTCAATTTTCAAGAAATTCATTTGAACATGAAGAACAAAATTCTCATTTTTACGATCTTAAATGGAATCATATTTTATCCACARCTATAATTCTTAACTTATTACCAATTACTAATTGGAAGTTTGATTGTGCTTCAAATGGTATTTTTCCTTTTACCTAATTATATGACRTACCTATATCGAACATGTTATGTTTCGGACTTTTTAACCACAGACTTTTTTTTCCTAGGACTTTTTACCTCGGACATTTTGGTAGTCTACCAAAGATTATATGAGAAAGTATCTATTATGTGATAGACACTAGGTATTGTGGCAAATGTTGCTTACTTTATTTTATTAATAGGCTGGCATACCAATCTCAATACTTTCGGTGAAAATTGATGGACATGTACTAGTGAATTTTGTAAACCATTAATAAGGACTTGATAGTTCATTTTTTAAGAGAATTTTCACATCATTGAGTTAGTGGTGTTGCATGAGAACTGGGAGTAATTTATTACTCTCCAGGATTAAACATTTTTAGCCTTTTTTGCAAACATTATTTTTTTTAATCATGTTGTACCTATATTGGTTAGGTATATTGTTATATATATTAGTTTGTATCAAAATGTTGTTTATTATTTTTAATCTTGTTTTAGGACTTTCCAATTGTTTGCGAAACATGTTTGGGAGATAGTCCTTACTTGCGAATGGTTAGTATATTTATTTTACATAATTTGTTTGTTTCATAACCTTCATCGCTARGTCTTATTTTAGGCAAAAGAAAAATATGGTAAAGAGTGTGAGGTTTGTGCAAGACCATTCACCGTATTCCGTTGGTGCCCAGGYGCTAGAATGCGTTTCAAGAAAACTGAAATATGTCAAACCTGTGCACGGCTAAGAAATGCTTGCCAGACTTGTTTATTGGATCTTGAATATGGACTTCCTTTACAAGTAMATTTTTATTTAACTGATAGGTAACTGTTTTGATATTTTGACAACTTGAAATTGTTATTAATTATAGGTCCGTGACGCTGCATTAAAAATTAAAGAACAAATTCCCAAGTCTGATGTTAATAAAGAATATTTTGTTCAAAATATGGATGCTGAAGTGAGATAGTTTTAGTTTTTGTTTATCAAAAGTATATGGCTAAATTAATTTTTGTATTATATTTAGTTAGCAAAAATGGATGAAGCTGGTGGAAAATGTCAGAATGCTAGTGATGTACTGGCCAAAATGGCTCGTAAAGCTCCTTACTATGAACGTAACAGGCCACACATTTGTTCATTTTGGGTGAAAGGTGAATGTCGACGAGGAGAAGAATGTCCATACCGTCATGAAAGACCTACAGACCCAGAGGATCCACTATCAAATCAGAATTTCAAGGACAGGTAATCATAMATAATTCTTTTGTATTAATTTGTAATTACTAATTAGTCGTAAATAAGGCTGAATACTCTCAAAATTTACTAAAATATGTATACAGTTTTGTACTTTTTATTTTTATACTTAAATTTATGCAAATTTTTCAATGTTAATTTTATTTGTTTGTAAGACTTATGGCWTTGTWGGTTATTCTGAAATTTAAGTGTTCWTTTAATGTTAGTAATATTATGTAGTAGTTACTTTTACAAGAATTTCAACATAAATGTTTATAAATTATGATTTTATTAATTTTAGGTATTATGGTGTAAATGATCCTGTTGCCGAGAAAATGATGAACAGAGCCAGTGAAATGCCAAAACTGGAGAAACCAGAGGATCAAACAATTACTACACTTTATGTTGGCAACCTGAATGATATTACAACAGAAAAAGATTTGAGGTAAATATCACACCAAATGTACAATTTATAATTACTAAGACTTGTTTTAAATAACTTACAGGGATGTATTTTATCAATATGGAGAAATTCGTAACATTACTCATGTAGCTCATCAGAATTGTGCATTCATTCAATACACCACGCGAGCTGCAGCCGAAATGGCAGCTGAGAGCACTTATGGCCGTTTGACATTGGGTGGACATAAATTAAATGTACGTTGGGGTCATGCTCAAGCACGTAAAGATAAGGAAACTACTAGTTTAGCGGCTATGAAAGAAATCAAAATGAAACCTTCGCCAGGATTACCTGCTCCATTACCACCATTGCCCACAGAATTACAAAACAATTTTTTCAACATTGCTCCTCAAACMGTACCTGTTGTTGCTACACCTTTTATACCTGTCATGCCAACATTACCTCATCCAAGTATGCAGTACATGTCAACCCCTATTTATCCACCTGGTACAAGTAAATAAAATTTTTTAAATTATAATT